GACGGCGAATTCCTCTTGACCAGCTGTCGATTGGCTTTACTGGAAGATTCATGCTGACGCTGTTTTCGAGATAATCTCCTTCGATTCCAGTGAACACGTGCTAAGCTTTCGTCTACTCGAAATGGAAGTAAGCCCAACAATAATGAAACAAGAGATTCTTCGAAACCCAACTTTTCTTCGTATACTAATATGATTGCCTGAAATTTTAACTACTAGACCCTTTATCACTTTAAACAAAATTAGGATGAGTACATATAATACATTTGACCTACTGTGAGTCTCGAAAACCGGCTTAGAAACGAAAAATGTATAGATTTAGCCTTTGATTATTGACTTAAATTTTGCGAAGTGTTATCACCATTTCTGAGCTGATCTTGGTAAAATCTTTTAGATTTCCCATTTATTTAATTGTTCATTTTTGTTTCCAGCTTTATTCTATTATCATTCTCCTCATTTGATTCTCTAATCAGAGCCCCCAACCCAGTTTTCCGATTGGTTGAGTCTTCCTTCTACTCTTCCGACTCCTGGCAAGCCGGTCGAGTGCAAATTGACCATTGATCATGGTGGTCCACTTTTGCTGGACTCCGGTGCGCCTAAATTGTTTGAGCTAACCAAAGCGAAACGACTCAAACTCTCAGAGCCTCTTTCTTGTAACTCTGCCTCCCTTAAGCCCATAAAGAGTCCGGACCTAGTCGACGAGGATCCAGATCACCTGGCTGTAAGTCTGAGCTCATTTTCAGGCCATCATTGTAGCCAAGACCTCGATCCGCATTGCTGCACATCGAATACTCGGGATCCTTTGATTCGGGTGATGCTCGACGCAGCTGTCCAATGCGCTTTGCTTGCCGGTATGATTGGCTTTATTGGTCCTTTCGACCAAGAAAAGTATATTAACAATAACCAAATTGCTAAAAGAAATTATGCAGTGATCAGCAAAGACCGGCCTCAGAGTCGATTTGCTCCGCCGGCGACCCCGGAGATGGAGAATTGCAGTCGGGAACCAAATCAAGCCAGATTCTTTTTGGAAGACTGGAAAATTCCTCCTTTGATTTGGGAACTCGAGATGCCGACGTTGGCATTGCTAGCTCGAGCTGAGATGAGAGGCTTCGGTAGGTCTTTAGGATTACATTCCAAAAACTGCCATTTATTTCAAAAAGCTTTTTTCGTTCACTGCCCAGCTAGTCACATTTCCCAAATATACTCTAGTAATTCTCCCAACTGACACGTTTCTTGTGCTGATTCGACCGTGTTTTCTCAACTCGGTCGGAGCGTCAGAAAGGCTTTGTTAAACGTTTCTGGTTCCGTGTCCTCTGCCATAGTATTTATGATTTCCAGCATTGGACTATTGAATTGGTACATTCCCAAACGTTTCGCCGACATCATCAGTGAGAGGCGCCATCGTAAGCCCTGAGTTACAACTTATCAGAGTGACAAGTGAAGGCAATCTCTTTGACCAATTTTCTGTTCAACCGTTGTGCATTACTCGTCAACCATATTTTTGGTTCTACTTTCTGGCGCCGCATCTCTTTCTCTCAACCCCATTTAATATTACCCGTCCACTTATTCACACACTTCTGCGCTCTCGTTTTCCCCAATGCCCACTTGTGTGAACATGTGGATGAGCCATGAAGAGGGGTTGAGGTAGAGAGATGCGGCAATAATGGATAAGTTAAGTTATATGGAAAAAAATCGTTGTTTATTTGAATGACTCAGAAATATACCGACTTTTAGTAAATGATCCCACAGAAGTTTTAATTGTTGAGTTTACTTCCATTTTGAATTAAAGTGTTGGGTAAAGAGATTCGAAGGTTGGTTCCACCAGAAGACGACGGCGGATTCCTCTCGATCAGCTGTCTATTAGCTTTACTGGAAGATTCATGCTGGCGCTGTTTCCGGGGTAATCTCCTTCGATTCCGGTGAAAAGGTGGTAAGCTTTCGTCTGTCATATGACGGACATCATCAGTGCGAGGTAACATCGTCACAACAAAATTCAGACAGATCTTGAAAATTTCCTCCATTCTTGACATGTAATTATTAGCCAAAATGGGAGCCAAGCAAGATCTCATTGCTAGACCTTGCATTTTTTCATAAACTTTATCATTAGAGGTGAAGTATGTGCTGCTCATGGATAGATCAAGAAGCCTTAAGATTAAGCCTTTGTTCAGATTTCCCTCCCCAATAATTTCTGGGTGTTCATCTAGGCTGAGTGTAAGCGCTTCGATAGCTTTCTAAACTGGGATGTTAGTATACATTGATACAACATCAAAACTAACGAAAATACTCTATTGATCTATTAATCTAGCAAATTCATATAAATTCTTCACTAAGAGTTAAGTTTGTCGACGAACATTATGAAGTCTGGAAGTTGTTTGACCTTGTTTTCGCTACG